ATAAATAAAACTATATATATATATATATATATATATATATATAATATATTTCAATTTTTCAGGGCATCATGCCGCCAGCAATTTTACAAACAACTGCAGCCAAGACAGGTTGGAAAGTAAGTACCTTGGTGTACTGATAGAACTTTAGTTAGTGTCAACATAGTGCATAATGTAAAACTAAAAAACAACTAAGTAGATGTGTCCACCAGTATATCCAGTGCAGTAGGATAGATTAAAGATGTGCTGCTACATACTGTACGATCAGGGGGTCGGGGAATTTCCTCTGTCGCCTGATGCTACACTTGATGAGGTCATCAGACTAAAAATATTCATATGCCAGTCCAACAAAAGCTAGAGATTGCATTTCAAATTTTGTGGTCTAAATTCATAATCCGTAAAATCTTTTGACCCACTTGGGTCACTAGATGGCCTCTTAGTTTAGATTCCTCTGTCAGCATATTTTTTGAGCCACCACTCATAACCATCCATATTCTGTCACCTTAAATAAAGCCCTCTCCAGACACTCAAATTTTATTAGACAAAAACATGTGACATGCCTAAATATGGCCATGATGACATCACATGATGAACATATATAGGCATGTCATGACTATATATGGGCATATAACTGTTTTTTTTTGTCACAGATCAGATATCATCCCAAGTGTTTTAATTTTTAAAGATTTAGAATGGCAACAACTGCAAGAGAAGAGATGAAGGCTTTTTGGAAACGAAATGAGCGCCTCAGGAGACCTGTATCACCTCATGTCACAATTTGGAAGTAAGAATCTCATTCAGACTTTCGTTTCATATTACAAAACAATTTAAGAAGCAATTTCTTCAAGTGCTAAAGATAAAAAGAGGATATAAAATTTTGAATGAGAGTGATGATGATAGGCCTATAGATGCAGGTTATATGCATTTATGAAAGGACGACTTGCCTACTTAGGATTACGGATTTCTTTTAACGTTAAATGTTTCATGTACCTTTAGTCATGTTACATTTGACGCATTTTAGAAATAATATTTTCTGTTATATTTCTCACTAAGATGGCAGCTTCCCGCAATCATGTCAATCGTGCACCGTGGTATGGGTATAGCTTTAACTACAGGTGAGAATTAAACTCTTCTGATAAACTGGAAATTGAACAAATATGTACCCATCATGGGTTTAAGTCATTTTGCTTAAAAATTCATTATTCCTAAATTTACCACTTTTGCATATTTGCTCTTAGTAATTTGACACCAATATTCAAATTATGAAATATGAAATATGTGTATATTTTGATATACTAAACCAAAGAAAATAAAACTATAATGAATTATACAGTAGTCTGGTGAACATTTAAACATTCCCAGGATAAGCAGTTAGCAACAATGGTACACACTATTGTCAACATCTTTTGGCAATGCTGATTGGTCATAATATATGTTAGAATAGCGTTTAATGCCAACAAGGCCTCTAAGCACTTCACATTTTTACCTCCAGTCATTGAAAAATCCTTTTCATAAATTGCATATTTTTTTGTATTTCTCGATTGTTTTGATTGTATTTTAACCTTGCTGTTGTTGTTTGAAATAAAAAATGATTGATTGATTGATGTAAAATTAACTGAACTGAACTGAGCTTGAATGAAGCACATACAGAACACATACTCATTTTGTGTTTGAATTTACCAGGTACCCACTTATACTCAATTCAAAGTAACATTCTTTTCGAATTCAGGAGTGCAGAGAGGCAACTGTAGGTAAAGTGCCTCTCCACCCAAGAGTACAATTGTTCAGTTGAATCAGGAGCCTTCCCATTGGCATCGGGAACAGCTATGCAGTGAAACACTGTAGCAGTAGTGTAGCTATTTAATGGGGAAACAGGCTTAAATCCGTTTTATTTATTAACAGGTTTATATGGATTTGGAATAGTTATGCTCATGGTACCAACAAACTTTGCAGACACGTTAGATAGAATCAAGTCCTGGTCAGTGGGGCCAGCTTTGATATCAACTTGTAAAGCTGGCATTAGTGTCGCCGCTGTTTACCACACCTTCAATGGAGTCAGGCATTTGGTAAGCATCTATGTTATCATTGGTTTGGTTATGCTGTTTGCATTGTTGTTATTATTGTAACAGTACTATTATTCCTGTTGAAATCAACATGGGGGGGGGGGGGTCATGGCAGGAAATTAGCTCCATTAAGTTGATTAAAAATTACTTTTAATTTTTCCACCCTAAAACCAGCCATGCCCCTGCAAACTATATTTATACCATTACATCATTACTATTTAAAAAAAATTATTTTACGTATTTACATGATTTCATATGAATTGATTTTAAGTATTATCAATTATTTTAAATTGGTGCAAAATATTTTATTGTCAATAGACTAGAAAATAGGTTTGTTGTGTTATGCAAGCCCCACAAACAAATTAAAAAACAAGACACATGCCTAAAATATGGTCATGATGACATCACATCATGACCATATATAGGCACATCATGGCATACTGGACAGAGCTTTAGTTATTGTCAACTCATGTTTTGTTTCAACTTTCTTTGCAGATGTGGGATACAGGTCGTGGGTTCAACATGCACATCCTTTACAGATCAGGCTTTGTAGTTATAGGACTTTCTGCTGTGTCTGCTGTTGCCCTCTTCTTATGGAAACCTTAGATATGAATGGGCAAAAATTTGAAATATCTACCTGTACCAAGAGTCAACAGAGTAGCAGTTGTTGGAATAGCAATGGAATTTACAAAAACTGTATAGACTTTCAAAATCTGCTTCAAAAATGTTTGATTTAGAAACTAAAGTGATAGATATTGAGATATTCAATTAATTTGAATTAATAAATTATGTTTTGATTTTGAAATGTTGAGGTTTTTCATTTATATATGTACTGTAATATATACTGGTACGTTACTTTACAGGTCTACCATGTTGTATAACTTTGTAAACCATGCTGGGGTTACAAAGCTATACTGTATTAATTTTATAATTCAAAATTGGCCTTTCCAGTGTGTCAATCAACTGACCAATCAGAATATTGCTAAAATTATGTGCTTTGTGGGCTTAACAGAAAGGACAGCTTAGGTCACAATTATTTATTAATTAATATTTTGTTAGCAACCATTTAGTTGAGAAAAACCTATGAAGTAATCACAATATTCAAAATGAAAACAACGCTGACAGTTATTCGGAAATTCATATACTGTATTTCAAATTTATTTTTTCTATGGCTAGTTAAATTGCATTTAAAAAATTCATAAATATTTATTAATTAATGATTGAGTGTGCAGTGAAAAGTTAGCATCCTTAAAAAACGTATAAAATTATGGACCTTAAATGAAAAAAATGTATGAAACATGTAAACTTAACTTGCACCACACATCATGCATCAGATCTGTTTGTGAATTATTTATCAATGCATCGTAGTTCTTAAATCCAAAAACATTTTTGTTAAGTGTACAATCATGGCAATTTAAACACGTCTGTATTAATAATAGCAATTCGTCAAAGATAATTTGTGAGGTCTCACCACAAAATTAGTATCAAGGTCAGATAATCAAAAATTGAGTTACCTGTAATACAATATTATATTTGGGTAATCACATTATAGGCTTTAATTTGGTCTTTGTGAATGGCTTCTCAAGGATAAGTAGATCCAGAGATGTGAGCATTTGAAGTTTAGGTGTATGAGAACCATGTTTCAAGAAAATCGGCCTCAAAGATAAACTAACCTGTACAAATAACAGGACTAGAATTACAGAATATGTGCAAAGAACACTGTTTTAGTAAGAAAATATAAGTATCAAGTTATTCAAATTTATAAAAACAAAAAATTTTGTAAAAATTTAGACTGTGACCTATTTTGGTGAATATCTCAATATGATTTCACCAACAATGTGTCTCATTTCATGGTGAGACCTCACAAATTATAAATACTTCTTGAAATAAAGTTGATATATAATTTCAAAATTAGAATAAATTTTATTATAGTGCACAATACACTTTCTAAGCAATTTAAATATTTTAAAAATAAATTAAAGTATCATACTGTATCTCCATCCATTATTCAACCTTTATCTTCTTTATACCAGTATTCAATTCTATTGCACTAACTTGGAGTGGCCACATCCCTCCTATAATACCTGCTTGGATAGATACACCATAAGCTACTGCCAACTCGGGATCCACCCCAACATTTGGCTGTTTGCCAAAAAATTCCGCAATGAGTGAACGCACTTTTGGTATCCGGGTAGACCCACCGACCAAAACTATCTCATCAACAGCCTGCGGTGTCAATTCAATAGTTTCTAAAACCTTTTTGATTGGTACCAACACCTTGAGGAAAAGGTCCTCATTAAGTTTTTCAAACTGTGCACGTGTGACATTAACATTATAAATAGCGCCCTCACCCATTGAAGGTAAAGAAAGGGAAACTGCGACAGACTCTTTGCTCGTGAGGTTAAGCTTTACGTCTTCTATAAAAAGCCTTAATCGCTGTATATCTTCTGCATTTGTTAAAGGTTTTCTAAATTTGCGTTCAATGGAATCCTGCATGAACTGGTTTAGCCTAAGGTTGAAGTCCTGCCCTCCTAAATGGTTATTGCCTGTGAAATAAAATAATAACAGCATGTTTTTATATGGGGCCTTTTCCTGGAATTAATTATTCAGTCATAATAAAATGAACATAAATTATAATTCAAAAAACTACATGGATGCAGACCATCAACAAAGACCTAAAACTACATATTAATAATATGAAGACAGCCGTTTCAAAAGAAGAAAAGATGATGAGAATGATATAGTGATGAACTGAATTTACTGATTTATGTATCTTGCAATGTTCCAACTTACCAGCCATGGCTAATGTTAGGAACATTCCACCTTGCACATTGAGTAGAGACACATCCAGTGTCCCCCCACCCAGGTCCACGACAAGGACATTCTCCACACCTTCCTTGCCGTGCAGGCCATAGGCCAGAGCTGCTGCGGTGGGTTCATTGATCAGTCGCAATACTTCTATACCTGAGGAGCAATTATAAATATTTTAGTTACCACAAGAGAAGATTAGAGAAGGTTATACAGTAATAACTGGTAGAAATAGGGGCCTGAAATGAATGGGGGAAGGGATTCTATGGTTCGGCCGCACCTGTACTTGAGCGACCCCTCTCTGATAAACTGTTCTGGGCTTTGTCCCTGACTCCCACAGGAGTCGTTGTCATGGACACCAACAGAAGCCTGGGATTCCCTTGTCTCCTGGTTTTCATAGGTTAACCCCCTATGGAACCATGGTTAAGAGTCTGGAATAATAGCAAAATAGTATTAAAACATTAGTGGTGTTGGTGGAAGTGTTCTTGGTGGTGACAGTGGTGTTGATAATAGTGGTATTGGTAGTCCTGTATTTGGTAGTTGTGCTGTTGGTGGTGGTGGTTGTGGTGATGGTGGCTTTGGCAGGTACTGTCAGCAACAGCAGACAGTAGTAGTAGAAGTATTAGTACTCTAATATAGTAGAGCTAAGTAGTATTAGCAGTAATAGCAGCATTAGCAAAATCAGCAGCAGTAGTAGTTTTAAACCGTAGCGTCTTACCTGCTTGTTTAGCTGCCTGGATGGTATAGTTCCTCTGAATGTCATCAAATTCTGCTGGCACCGACATCACTGCCTTTGTGATACTACTAGTGAGGTTTGCTTCAGCAGTTCTGCGCAACTCTGCCAGTATTCTGGAGCCTATGTACTCAGGGCTTACTTCTGTAGTATTTCCACTTTTTCCCACCACAAATCTAATCAATCCATTGTGTTCTTTCAACTTAAAAAAGTAGCAATTATCAAAATTTAATTCAATGATTATGATGCATAATACAGTGTAAAGAACTGCTTATGCAGTAGCAGGTCAAAACGGCAATAAACCAAAACGGCAATGAACCAAAATGGCAATGACGAGTACTAAAACGGCAACAGACCGAAATGGCAAAGGAGCGAAATCAATGCCAAGACTAGCAAGCACCGCTGGGTGCGGGCCGCAGTTTATAATTTTCTGAATTGTTTTGAAATTGTCCCGATAGGCAAATCAAATACTGTATTGCCATGGGCTCTTTTTTCCATTTTAATATTTATTATTATTATTATTTCGCATTTTTTTACTTTTATGACTTTAAAATTTATAAATTGTTTGGCCTCATTTTGTCTGTATTTTGAAAGTTTTAATTATTTAAATGTTTTACTGCTTTTATATTGAATTTGTATAATTTTTATTATTATTACTGTATTATTGTTATTGATATTACTGCTGATGCTATTTAGTCTCATTTTTACCGTATTTAATCGTAGTACACTTTCATGTTTATAATTAGTTTATTTTAATTAGTTTTATTTAGTATATTCATACAATCATTAATTTAACAAGAGCATTTTAAATTGCCACACTTTGGTTTTTGTATAATGAATGTTAGTTCCTTTTCATTTGTATTGTGAAATTTTATTGTATTTTAGATATTTTTACCTTCCCCAGCCTGGGGGTTTTTGTTGAATAAATTGAAATTAAAATTGAATTGAAATATATAATACACTATCAAGAAATATCACATCAAGTTGTCTCAAATGTTTAGTTTAGTAGTAATTTTTCTGTGTTTGACAGACCTGTTTGCATTTGTTTTTGGAATCATTGCTGACGAGTGGATACATTTTTGAAAATAAAAAATATTTTACAGTAGCTTTAAGCTCTGTCCAGACTATCAAATTTTATTTAACAAAAACATGTGACATGCCTAAATATGGTCATGATGACATCACATGACCATATATAGGCACATCATGACTATATATAGGCACATCATGACTATATATGGGCACATCATGACCATATATAGGCACATCATGATTATATATGGGCATACAATAGTGTGGACAGAGCTTTTAGGAAAATCAATTTCAGGATGTTTTTAAAAACATTCAGAAATTAAATGTCAATTAAAATAATTTACCTTAAAATTGTACCTTTCTGCCTCTTTGACAAATTCTTCAGGTGAGAACCTCTTGCCAATGAATCTCTTGGCGTCATATATTGTGTTAGCTGGGTTATGCTCAGCCTGGGCTAGGGCTGAGTACCCTACCAGCTCAGTCTCTGGAGTAAAAGCTACCATACTTGGTATTGTCTTATGGTGAGCTGAATCTAATATCACCTGGAATTAAAAACATATAGACAAAATAGACAATAAATTATGAGGGGAAAAACACCACAGTCCTAATTGCAAATTGTTAATTAGTGAGATTTCCAAGCATAGAATGGAATTTAGGGTGATTCTCCTCTCAAAAAAGAAACAGAATTTTTTAATTTCCTCTGACTTTCAAATTTAGAGAAATACATGTTATTTAGCCCCTTTTGTGGCTTTTTTTTATTTGTAGGGGATAGTGTGTGATGAAATAAAGTGTTAACTTTAAATCCCAACCACCCCACACACATAGTTTGTTGCACATCTACATCTTTAGAAATTTGGGAAAACACTGACAAAGGAGAAAGTGATAAAATATTGTGATGACTTACTTCTACATCACCTGTAACAGCGTGGTACACTCCAATGCATGAAAATGTTGTTCCGAGGTCAATTCCGACTATCCTAGGCTTTGGTGGAGGTAAGAATTGTTGGCCTAAGTACCCAGCTAATAACAATGCTAAAATAGATGCACCTGGAAAATTATGAATTCAATAAAATGTTTAGTTATCAAAATCATAAATAAGGCCTAGTTGCTACTAGGCCATAACATAAACGCCAAAGTGCAATTTGTATGGGATCAACCATTCTCGTGGAACAATTTGTACATAAGTATACACTGTAGGAAACCGGTGGTCTAGTAGTTAATACACCAGGCTAGTTATCTGGAGGTTGTGGGTTCGATTCAAATCCGAATCACATGCGAGATTGTTTTCACAAGTATTTAGTAATGTACTGAGCAAAAAACATCATTCATATTATTTCTGCAGACGCAAAACGTCATCGGCATAGGAAACCAAACACCAAAAAATAACGGGTCATATGATTCTTGCTTTCCCTTGATTAGGTTTGAATATACAGTAAAATCATTTTGGGCCATGGGCCAAGGTCACAAAAAGATCATCCATTATTTTTGGGAGGGATATATATGGTGCAGGCCTTTTAAAAGTCAGGTAAATGACTACTATTTATATTATCATATCCCCATGTTTTATGAAAGACAGTTTTGTCTTTTTGGTGTGACAGTAAACTATCTTAGTTCTATCTAATTTCAAACAACTTAATAGATGGTGATCTAGGCTAGGCCTACCAGTACTACCTAGCCTATAGATAGGCCTAGAGTCTCATAAGCTCAGATATAGTTAGTAGTAGAAAGGGCATACTACTACTCTAGTAGTAGTAGGCCTAGCCTTAGCCTAGTTTCAATCAAGGAAGGTGAAGTCGACGTTTATTATATATATAATGCTATTGATACGCTAAAGAATTAATCTAATTATTATATTTGATAAACAATAATTATTGACAGTACATACCCAAAATTGATACTGCAGTACTCATCGTCTGATGTGGGTATTGCTACGGTGCCTCTAATGAATTTTCTTACTTTACAAAACCATCCATATGTTGTTACATGTTTAATAGTTCCTTTTCAGATGCTTCCGGTTGATAAACTACGAGAGAGGGCGTGATCATACTTTCGTCAAAAATGTTTTGTTTATAATTTGCATGACAACAATATGGCGGCTACCGCTCCAGCGACGGAAGCAAAAACAACAGTTTTCATAGGTAGTTCAGATGAAGATAAGGCTTGTGCTAAATTGTTTTGGCAGTCTGTTAATTTGCATCCTACTATTGAATCAAGACTAGTATCAGGAGATATGAGACAGCGTTTACCTATTGCGCCTCGGTCTGGTCAGTGTAAGTCATTCGGATTCTGACGGAAGGGAAGTCCGCTCCCGCTACGGACGATCCTACCGCCGTAGGCCTAGGCCTAGGCTAGTATTCTGTTGGACAATAAATAGGGGCCTAACCCAGCAGTACATAAGTAGTATCCTAAATTCGGCGCTAATGCATAAGTTCACCTCATCTTCAAAATCAAACTTCCAAGTTGTAATTTCCTTAAATATTCATGTATTATGCAAAAACATTCATTTACCCACACGATTGAAACTATTATATGACAAATCCAGCTTGTGTTATTAAGAAAAATTCGGTTTTACGCTGCTCTCTCGAGTGGCTCCCATCCGATCGCTTTTCGGCCATCTTGTAAATGAAATGGTTGCCAGAATCACATATATATGATTTCTTGTAACTTAGGGAATCAATTGTTTAACACTGTGCGCTACTATACACATTTTGATTCTAGTTGCGCACAGTGATAATGAATAGGATAAAATTAAATTCAGTTGATGGGCATTGCATCGAATGCATAAGTTCACCTCAAGCTCACAATCAAACTTCCAAGTTGTATGCCTTTAGCTACACGATTTACACCGTTCAGGGGCGGATCCAGAAATGTCCAAAAGGGGGGGCCGGAGGGGGGCCGAAAGTTGGGCCGATTGAGACAACACTGTCGTAGGGGGTCCGGGGGCATGCCCCCGCGAAATTTTTGCATTAACAATCATTATTAGGGTACCTAACTAGGCCTAGGCCCAGATTATGTTGATAGGTATCTAGACGAGGTCTATGCCATGGCCCAGGTTGTTTGTGTCTACCAGACTTACAATTATATTATTATTAGATTCATTATTAGTATTTGTAAATACAGCCACTACGTAGACATACTTACTGTAATTGGATATGCTTTCCGTGTTGTGCAGCAAGTCTCGTTTCCGTGTGGAGTTGCAGATATGCAAATGCCCTGACCTGGAGTCATAGTGTTTTCGAGGCCGGCCGGCCGGCCGTAATTGACATTGCAAGGGTTTTGTCACTACATTAACAATCAATAACTTCATAATTGATAGTTTCATTAAACGTTTGTTTATTTTTCTTTAAAAAGAACTAGAAGCACATCTTCAAAAGGCTCACAAGGAGACTATTTATGAAGAAAGTAAAAGAATTACAAATCAGGTAAAATATGTCCACGTACCTTTGCACGCTAATTTATGGCCCAGTTATTATATAGTCTATTTTTTTTGTAATTTGAAATCCTTAAATATTTTGCAAATGAATAGTTTGTGTCAAATTATTTTGCTTTTTATAATGTTCCTCATCAACATCCTTATCGTGTGTTATCTTATTAATATCACCACCATCATTATCATCATTTTCTTTATGATCCTGATTTGCATATGCATTGTACTTTTTTGTGTTTATAACCTGATATGCATTTTTTTTAAATGGTTGTCAACTGCTAAGAATTTAGTTTACACAAGCATCTGTCTGTGGTTGTTTGAATTAAAGAAACATCATTTGCCATACATTAAAAATGATTTGTCAGAGAGTTACTGTACTCCCGAACCTTATGAATATTGATGAGGTTGTGACGAATAACGTCTAATTACGTGATTGCAGGCTTTAGGTAGAGAAGCTAATCTTGCACTACTTGAAAAGAGGAAGAAAGAGCGACATGATAAGGAAATGTTGTCAAATCAGAAAAGACGAGAGCGCCACCAGGCGAAGCTTAAAGGAAATTACATGAATGATGAGGAGTTTAACGAGGATAGCGATGATGATGCTGTGACTGCAATGAAAGAACTTGATAAATTTGAACAAAGACTTCTTAAAGAAAAGCCAAATCTTTGATTGTGCAAATACTTATAGCAGGCCAAGGCTAAAAATACTCTATACCAGGCCTATGTTGAGAATCGGTGTGGGAGTCACTTTGGATGTGGGCTGCATTTCCACATCTATCAAAGAAATTAGGAATTTTGGCAGTTAAGACGGGGAAGAGAAGGGGAAGTTGAATCATATGTTTATATTTAATAATAATTATATTTCCTAAGGATTGCTGCAGAAGGGAATATTATTTTTTTATTGTATGCAGTACTGTACTATTTTTTGTTTATTTTCCTGCATTATAATTTGGAGGCCTATTAATGATGTGAAGTGCAAAAAGGCACTGCACAATATGGCTATATAAATGTAAATTATTATTATTTTTATTATTATTATTTATTTATTTATTTATTAATACTATTATTAATAAACTCAACACAATAACATTAACAAAATTCCACTGTAGTTTTATCTTTTCATGTCTTTATTTTTTTAATGTATTACACATACAAATACATTAAAAATGGTAACAATCACTGACATCAATCATTGCAACAAGGAAGACTATATACACTCATAGATGATGACGTCATTGCATAGAGGTACAAGTGCTTAAGTATTAAATATGAATTAAAACAATACAATCCGTGGATATAGTCATGCTTAGGGCCTACAGCTTCAACGCAATGAGTAACCATAACAAAAGTTACAATGCAATTGAAATGTGTTACGGCAACCACGCCCTCATTAGGTGGGACTACCGGCTCTTTTACATGGTAAAATGTGGTAGGCTTTTTATAAACGTCATATGATTGTTCTCAAAATTTTGGCTCAAACAATGGCTTTAAGAAACAAAATAAAATATTTCATTACACTCGTCAGTGAAAACTGAACTGCAGACCTAGGAGAAAATGTTCAATTAGAGTATGTAATTACCAAAGCTATTATTCGAGAGGCTGAAATATCAAGCATTACCCGAAAGGACATTTCAGGAACATCCATCTGATAAATATCGTAACCATAATATATTATTTAATTTTTTGACTAAAATTACATTCGTACCATTATCACTATGTTCACACACATCAGGAAAAAACGGTATTTACATATTGGTTACATTCGTACGCATGCGTCGTGTATGTATTCCTTGAACGCAATGAACAAGAAGCGATGTACAAATTCCGTATAATTTACGAAAACTTTCGCAGCAATCAAATCATTAACAGTAATAATGATACAGTTATGGGTCATTTAACCCCAGATAAATAGTTTTATTTTTGTATTAAAATCGAAAATTAGCGCCCAGTCCATAGGCAACTGGTGGATAATTCGTCCACATGGGAAATACATTAGAAACCAAAGTTGTGAATCGATGTGCTGCAACATTCCATATAGGACAGAAAATTAGATTGATGAACAAATCGCAAATGTACGGTTTTCTGTGTATGATCTCCCATGTGTACGAAAAAGCCAAGATGTGCGATCACATAGTTACATTACAAAAGCTATATCATATATTTTATATACTTTATATATTTATTGGTAGAGAGCCAACTGGCAAATTTAGTTTACATCGGCCAGCCGTATGTTCTCATCAAAGGAAATTGGTTAATGATGGAAGATATAAAATTTGAGGTACAACAAAACATACCTTTTCAAAATATAGTACAGTATTATTAGTGATTTTAATGTTTGTGCTTCAATGTATATTTATCAAATACACAAGCTAAATCGCTTTAGACGGCCACGAACCTTTAAAATTATCTTTGATTGCGCTGTAAACAAAGTTTTTCGTTACTTATGAAACTGAAAGAGACAATCTAAAGCAGAAAACTATAACTAGGTACATTAAAATAATACACAGAAAATGAATATGCAAATTATATTGATAAAATAAATTGTCTTTAAATAATATATTATAAAAAGCTAAATGGTTGGCAATTCTACATATCATACCCTTCATCAAAATCGAACTTAACAACTGACCAATCAGAATAGGGCGAAGAGTACGCGCCTGTTCCATTATACACACGGGTTGTTTTTAAAAAGCATGTGCTTACATACGTTGATATGTTGCGTAAAACCTTAGCAACAATTTCCAAGGGGCGGGGCTTAGAGGAAATTGTTAAGAATATAATGGAGTTTTAAAGAGACTCAGAGATTAATACTAGACAGTATAATGCATAGCCAAGTATCGAAATGCACGCCATCGTGTCGGGATTCAATATTTCGACATTAATTATATCATCATCAGGAATGGATGATCAATACTAGTAATAGAGAAATTAAATCTCATATGAGATCTCATAATGCAAACGCTAAATCTCATGGGTTAAGGGATAAGGTTATTATTGTTATTATATAACAAATAGAACAATAGATAGATCACATAAAATTTAACTTGATAATAGAGAAACACCCTCATCAGTGAAAAATGGTTGAAAAAAATAAACATAGTCCCTATCGGGACTTCCAACAGCCCATCCCAGCCAATCAGATCACCACCGTTCAATTATTCTACCATGTGCTACGAGGCGAAGCTGTTCCCATAAACATCATATGATTTAATAATTTATTGTTTATTAATTAATTGCGTATCAGGTCTCAAAGAAAAGGGTTCTAACACATAAAACTTAATAAGCATAAATATAATGTATTTACAGAAGTTTTGGAGGAGCCGTCGGCAGCATAATATGTATTATAATTCACAATATTGCTAGTTTTAAATTCTAGAATTAAAATAAGTTGAATCTAAATAAATAAGAGTTTTATAAAATACCCTGTGATACACTTTACACATTGCTTCATTTCTCGCACATTAATTTACACGTCATACATTACTTATTACCACATATTACTTTAAACGTCACACATTACACTCTTCTGAACTCACCAACATAGTAACACAAACAAAAAAGAATTCAATAAAAACATATAAAAAAGGGAAACAAATTATCGAATCTAAAACCATTCAATACAAACATATAAAAAGGAAACAAAATATGTCAGTAATAGAGAATCACTCAAACATTATTAAAACGGAATGTATATTCAATAATTACAGTAGTTAAAGGTTAAACATACAAAAGTAGGTAGATAACTGCAATAGTTCATAAATTATTAATCTGTATTATATAAGTAACAATTCTAAAGATACATTATACTGAATGAAAGAATTCGTTGTTCTGTTTATGTTCTGTTTAAGTGAGAAAGAGTGGATACGAATCCACATTTTACTATATTTGGTAAGAGTAGTTATCAAAAAGTTACAGTTCAGACAAAAATTAATTCTATACCAACGCATTATACACACAAATACAATGCTAATTATAAGAAAATTGAAATAATAAACAAAATAATAGAACTCAAATTATTTTAAAAATAGCTAATGTCACGTTTAGAATTCGAGTCATGCATATGAATATATATATATATATATATATATATATATATATACAGTATACATATATATTGCATATATAATTTAATAGTTAATTATATATATTATATATTCCTCTTTTAAGTGTTATCTAAATTATATAAAGTCAAAAACGTTCGTTGTATATAATAATAATAATATGATTCAAATTACTTATTAAGCCTTCGGATTTTAAAAATCTATTTCGATATCAATTGGAGAACTCCAATCCAACAGATAGCAAGCCTCTATATAAATCTAAAATATCCAAATATTTAAATATATTTAACATAAAAGGCCATACAAAAGTTATTTGATATTCTTTACTGGCAAGCAAGCGTGTACATTTCAATTAGGCCTTGAAACCAATATTCTGACAAGCCTCGGTTATTGTATTTACATTATTGCTGGAATTACTACACATATACTATTGAGAAAATTAATAAGGCGTTCATAACCCAAAAATATTCTTGTTTCTTATTGATTTTTTTCTTCCATAGCTCTTATACTGTACTTATTTAGAATATTTAGCTTTGTGAGGACGTCAAAACGATGTGTGTAAAAAAATATTGGACAATGACTTTTAACCTTTTAACGAAATACTATATATAGTTTTCAATACATGAGTTTTACTATTTAAAAACAATTCTCTTCTGAAATTAATATAAACTAAATACCTGTAGTTACTACTTAAGAACTGAGATTGTCCCGATAAGTTAACACTAATGATGAGGATGATGATAATTAAATGATAATAGTAATAATTATTGTATTAATGTTATTGATATTAATTATAACAATTATGGCGATTATTAATTTTATTATTGATTTTAGTATCACCATAATCATCAAAGGGTCAAAGTTTACTATACTTAAAGGGTAAAACATGGCTTCACAAACAAATGTTTTCTTTGCCAATTTAAAAGTGAATTATTGCACAATATCAAAATTATAAATAAAATATTACCATATTAGCAGCCTAACGAGATTTATCCATATAATATAGCCTATTTCAAGCGGGTACATAATCGTATGCAATTTATGACTGGGCGTGCTTGTCCTCAACACACTTTTCATTCTAAAACTTGGCAGAATCTTGGACTTTGACACACTTTTCAATATATATACTCAGCAGGACGTTGTTGAAGAGAAACTTTCACCAGTTTTCTGCTGATCGCAGTTATCTAGGATGTAGCATACGTTATCATCAATCGCTGCACCTGATTGGCTGGGAGAAAATGAATGCAGCTGGTTGCTGAGGTCAGATCCTTGACTTGGAACAGTATTGGTTGGAAGTTGGACTGAATTTGGATTGAAGTCAATGGTTTGCAACTCAATAAGATTACTGTCCAATGAATCCATTGATATAGTTTCTTTGGTCTCCATTGGATCAAAATGTTGAGACCACAGATTGAGGTTTCCGTGGTCTGTTGTGAATTCTGGCGTGGATAATGATTTTGCTAGTATCTCCGCTGTTCTTGAAGATTGTGCCGTAACATTGCATGCGCTTGCTGTGAGCACTTCGTGACGTTTGTACCCGGAACGCCGCTCGATATGTGGATACGAACCAACGGAGGGCGGTCGGTTCAGATTTAGATTTGCTGGATCTGTTCCCTGATGCTCCGAGGAGTTCCGGAGGATGTATGCTTTCTGGCGAGAAGGATTTGCGAAGTGAAAGTAGATGTTTGAATCACTGTTATCGTCATCTAATGATGACCACATATTATGCCCTGAGACGGCACCATTTTGTTTTGCATACGTCTTGTTGCTAACATAAGCTTGCCTGATATGGTGAGGATATCCTCTTGTTAAAATCTCGAATATAGCGTCGCGTTTCTCTTCGAATTTTTGCTCTAACTCGTCTAGTTTTGAGAAGACGACTTCTATTTTATTGTTAAGATCACTGTTGGCTACAATGGGACTGACGTCCTCTACGACTATATGTGGCATTGACGTGGTTCCCTGATCGACATCCAGAAAGTCTTTGGTAGGTTCTGCACATAGGTAGGAAAGGTCCAACTCATCTTCATAATAATCATCTCCATCATCTTGATTGTCCCGTTTGGTGCTACATTGTTTTGATTGTATTCTGTGTCTTTTCTCGAATGTATTTCCCAACTCCATGGTAATGAGAGGATCCAACTCCTCTGAAATATAATCAAACATTGCTTTTTTTAAGTTCATTACATAGTTAAAATTTAACATACCGAAATTCAAATTTAAAGTAGCCCGTGTACTACCGAGTTATCGAAGCTGACGATTACTATTTTCGAGCAATGTCAAGACATCAAAACAAATTGCACTAAAATCTGATTATGAAAACCAAGAAAAGTTAGCCAAATCCACTCTGAAATTGAAAAGCCGTTTGCAGCTGCGCAGTAGCGGAAGCAGCAGTAATAATAACAGCAGTGCTGCAGTAGTACTAGTGATATTGGTAGTAGCAGCAGTGCAGCAACAGAGTGGTGTAAGTAG